ACAAAAAATCATTTATCAGTGGGAAATCTTCGGAAATCTGAATAACGTCTGTAGTTTAATATACTGACATTAATTTCTTAGTTTTGATAAATGCACTATTGTTGCCTAAGATGTTAACTTAGGGTAAACTGGGTTAAGAGTGTACCAGAATTCTCTGTACTAATTTTGTCATTCTTCTGTAACACTGAAATTATTTGAAAACTAAAAGGATTTTTAAAAATAAAAATATTTTTGTCTAATGATACTCAACTGCTGACAGGTTGTTATGAAAATCTGTGCTATTTAAATCATTTGCAACAATGCAAGTGTAGTAAAACTGCTGAGATACTATAAAGCATATAAGGCTATCCTTTATATTATAAAATCATGTATATAACAGCAATAAGTACTCATCAAGGTTCTTCAAATATTTATCACAAAATTCTTTTGTTCATGTGATACAGTGAATAAAAATATTTTATATTTTAATAATTCTTTGCTTTGCTTTTTTTTTTTTTTTGAGACAGAGTCTGGCTGTGTCACTCACACTGGAGTGCAGTGGTGCAATCTTGGCTCACTGCAACCTCTGCCTCCCAGGTTCAAGCTCCTCCCTCAGCCTCCCAAGTAGCTGGGACTACAGGGGCCTGCCACCACTCCCAGCTAACTTTTAAATATATTTTTAGTAGAGACGGGGTTTAACTATGTTGTCCAGGCTGGTCTTGAACTCCTGACCTCGTGATCCACCCACCTCAGCCTCCCAAAGTGCTGGGATTACAGGTGTGAGTCACTGTGCCTGGGCCTTAAGAATTATTTTCTAAGAGAAAAATGAAGCAAGTATAATGCTAGCTTGTCTAGGTTGTCCTTAGAATAACTAAGATTGACTTTCTCTCTCTTTTTACCAACTGCAAATGGGATACAGGACAGTGGATTGGAGCACTTCCTTGGCCAGTGGGGAAAGGAGAATGAGTGCTTCTTTTCTCCTGCACTCCTCACCAGTCTCATACACAGATTTTGCTCTTTTCTGGTCATCTTGGTATGCTGCACTAAGGACAAAGGAACAGCAAGTTATTTCTGCAAATGAAGCATGAATAATTAAAAAATTAAGGAAGTGAAAGGGAGCTTTGAAGACAGCAGAAAATGGCCATACATTAACTGCAAGGCTTTTGTAGGGGGTGCACAGTGGCAGTGTTGTTCAAATTCTTAGCAGCCTGTCTAGAATTCTGTACTCTCAAGCAATCTGCTCTTCCTTTCTTCCTTCTCTCCTCCCAAAAGTCCATAAATGATGATATGGGAGACTTAGCATGAAAAAGATAACTATACTCTAGTTTAACTGTTGTTACGGGATAAATTTTAGGTGTACTAGGTGCTATAAGTACAATGGAGAGATTTTAAAAGGTTCTTATAGGCCAGGCATGGTGGCTCACACCTGCAATCCCAGCACTCTGGTAGGCCGAGGCAGGTAGATCGCCTGAGGTTAGGAGTTCAAGACCAGCCTGGCCAACATAGTGAAACCTTGTCTCTACTAAAAATACAAAAAATTAGCCAGGTGTGGTGGTGGGCACCTTTAATGCCAGCTACTCAGGAGGCTGAGGCAGGGGAATCACTTGAACCTGGGAGGCAGAGGTTGCAGTGAGCTGAGATCACACCACTGTACTCTAGCCTCCAGCCTGGGCAACAAGAGCGAAACTCCATCTCAAAAAAAAAAAACAGCTTTGTATGACATTAAGGATGATAGCTACAGCATACTTGAGTTCACATATGATCACTTTGAAGTTAGCTGTGTCTTAGAGCATAATCAGTGTTTTTTTTGTTTTTGTTGAGACTGAGTCTCACTCTGTCACCCAGGTTGGAGTGCAGATTGTGGAGAGCATGATCTTGGCTCGCTGCAACCTCTGCCTCCTGGGTTCAAGTGATTCTCCTACCTCAGCCTCTCAAGTAGCTGGGACTACAGGCATGCACCATGCCTGGCTAATTTTTTTATTTTGTATTTTTAGTAGAGAAGGAGTTTTGCCATGTTGGCCACGTGGACTCCTGACCTCAGGTGATCCACCTTCTTTGGCCTCCCAAAGTGCTGGGATTTATAGGCGTGAGCCACCAGGCCTGGCCATAATCAGCTTTTTAAAAATATGGGTCTAAGTGTCAAGCAAAGCTTATCTAACAAACCTTTGAATGTCTTGGTCTTTCTGTTACTTTAGTGACCTCAAGGGAAGGCCACATTTGTGTGAGGTGACTGTAATAATAAGTATCTCAAAGTTTGCTTATTCAAACTTCTTGGATATAAGGACAGATCACTTTTACTTTTTTACAAAACCATCATTTACTCTTGAGGATTTCAGAAGATTTTTAAAACCTCTTGTGTCTTGCATGATAAGAAAAAGCATAAATAGAATTTTTATTATTGCATGTTGATATTGTACTTTTGGAAATAGAACCAAGGGAGCTAAATGAATTCGCTCTTAAAAATGCCTTCTTGTCATAAAAAGCTGAAATTCTTGGTACATAAATGTTCCAGGTATTTGACAGGTTACTATTTGCTAATTCTGTTCCTTATTTTTTTTTTAAAGGGAAAGCAAGTTTATTAAGAAAGTCAAGGAATATGGCTGCTCCATGGGCAGAGCAGCCTGTTCCATATTTTTATTTAGAAAATTCATTATACCTTAAGTAGAAATTAGAGTTCATAAACACAGCTGTATCATCTTAAACATAAAAAGAACAAGATATTTATCTGGCAGTACTTGGTTGCTAAGTGAGGGCATGGTTGGAAATACAAATATATAATAAATGATCCAGGCCAGGCACAGTGGCTCATGCCTGTAATCCCAGCACTTTGGGAGGCTGAGGCAGGCAGATCACTTGAGGTTAGGAGGTCAAGACCAGCTTGGCTAACATGGTGAAATCCCGTCTCCAGTAAAAATACAAAAATTAGCCAGACATGGTGGCATGGGCCTGTAATCCCAGCTACTTGGGAGGCTGAGGCAGGAGGATTATTTGAACCTGGGAGGTGTTGGTTGCCATGAGCTGAAATCATGCCACTGCACTCCAGTTTGGGCAACAGGGAAAGACTCTGTCTCAAAAAATAAAATATAAACGATCCTTTCTACATCATAATGTTTATGGTAACAAATGTTACCATAATGTTTATAGTACATGGAAGTTTATGGTAACAAAAATGTTCCCTTAGAGAGGCAATACAGTATAGTGGTTTAAATAGAACATGGATTGGGAAGTCACATAAGAAGGATTTAAATCCTGGCTTATTATCTGAATACAGGTCAGGCGTGGTGGCTCACGCCTGTAATTCCAGCACTTTGGGAGACTGAGGCCAGCAGATCAGCCTTAAGGTCAGGAGTTTGAGACCAGCCTGGCCAATAAAATGAAACCCTGTTTCTATTAAAAATATAAAAATTAGCTGGGCATGATCGTATGCACCTGTAGTCCCAGCTACTTGAGAGGCTTAGGCAGGAGAATTGCTTAAACTCAGGAGTCGGAGGTCGAAGAGAGCTGACGTTGCACTACTGCACTTCAGCCTGGGTGACAGAGTGAGACTTTGTCTCAAAAAACAAAAAAGCAGCATATTATCTGAATAGCTTGTTAAGTTGTTTCACCTTTCGGGGCCCCAGTTTTCTCTTCTATAAAATGAGGATTAGTGAAGTAATACATACCAGAGGCCCCAAACACAGTAAGCTCTTGGCAAAGGATAACTATTAGCAGAATTCAAGAGATTAAATGTTCAGTTAGAACTATATGTTTAATAATTTTAAAAATTTCCTTATAACTTGTTTCAGGTAAAAGGACTTGGGTATTAGCAAATGTATTTTTCTTATAGAAAATAAGAAACCATATGACTTATGGAATTATGGAGTTATAAGGCCTGATGAAGAGTCACCTAGAAAAGCGATTCCAGGGCCTACTCAGCCCTAATGATTCAAAAATCTTTGGAGGATGAAGCCTAGAAATCATTTAAAAAAAAAATCTCATTTGATTCTGAAGATGACCCAAGTTTGGAAACCACTGAGGTGGAGCATTTCTGGGCATGGGTGTGCTGAGCAAAACCATGATTATGCCAAGAACTATCCACTCTTGGAGGGTTACTGGGGTGGGGTGCTAAAGGAGAGGTTACATATGAGATTATGTTTGTGACGCTTTATAAATTGCAAAGCACTACAAATGGAGGTGCTTTGTATAACCGTTATGCAAAGGAGTGTAATCATGAACTGGTGCTAGAGATCTTAGAAAATTGAGGCTTACCATGGTTAACGTAGCTTGTTTCAAAGTTAGGCAGCAAAGCAGGCGAAATACACATGGTGTTATGTAAGTGCCAAATGGGTGTCAGAGACATGAAATATCATGAGAACTTGGGAGGGGGCTACTGTGGACTGGGAATGTTACGAAAGACTTCTTGGGGAGATGCAAATGAGGAATTGGTCTTGAAGGATGATGAAGACTCATATTAGTAACACAGAGGACGGGGCAACTGAGAAAGAGAGGGAGGAACGCACCAGCAGGTTTGTGAAGGTGTGAGTTAGACCTGGTGGTAGGCTGGAGCACAAAATTCATGTGGAGGAGTGGTAGGGGAGAGAACTCGTGGAGGTCCTTAACTTCTAAACTAGGGAGCTGAGTCTATCTTGGTGAGCAGAAGGGATCCAAAGAAGGTTTCTGAATAGTACATAAATAGGTGGAAAGTGAGAGCATAAAAGGAGGGCCCTTGAATCCAAAGGGCCCGTGGAGAGAGGCTACAATTGGGAGGCCACTGTGGTATTCTAGACATGAGGCCATACAGGTCTGAAAAGTGGGAATCAAGAAAGCCAGAGGGTGTAAGTGCCACAGGAGCAATGAACAGTTCTTGGAATATTTATGGGGATCAAAGGAGAAAGAGGAGGAAACCACTGTGAGCCTGAGGGATTGAAATTATGACACCTTTCACAGAAATGGGAGGCCAAGTTGGTGGAAGAAAAGGTTGGTTTGAGACAGATGGTGGCACTGTTACAGTGCTCTGTACGGAAACTTGGGACACAACTCACCTTCATGTCCTCAAAGTTCGTTATCCCTATCTGAGGGAGGTTTGAGCAGTTCACGTGGATGAGTTTTCGGCCACTGATGAAGTTTGTGGTAAAACACTCCTGCCAATACAACACGGACATCACTTAAAAAATGTACGGTGGCCGGGCGTGGTGGCTCAAGCCTGTAATCTCAGCACTTTGGGAGGCCGAGGCGGGTGGATCACGAGGTCAAGAGATTGAGACCATCCTGGTCAACATGGTGAAACCCTTTCTCTACTAAAAATACAAAAAATTAGCTGGGCATGGTGGTGCGTGCCTGTAATCCCAGCTACTCGGGAGGCTGAAGCAGGAGAATTGCCTGAACCCAGGAGGCGGAGGTTGCAGTGAGCCGAGATTGTGCCATTGCATTCCAGCCTGGGTAACAAGAGCGAAACTCCGTCTCAAAAGAAAGAAAAAAAATGTACGGCAAATAGAAGGAAGAAAAGGAGGAAAGAGGAGGAAGACAAAAAAATCAAGTTTGTTCTACCCTGAGGAAAAAAATTATATTCTTCTTTTTCTTTTTTAGAGACAGGGTCTCACTCTGTCATCCAGGCTGGAGTGCAGTGCCACAGTCACAGCTCACTGCAGCTTCAAACTCCTGGGATCAAGCAGTCCTCCAGCCACAGCCTCCTGAGTAGTTTAAATTTATTTTCTACCCCAATAACGGCACAATTTTTCCATGTAAACTCTTCATTAAATTTTACACTGCTCTTTAATTGTTCTGGCATGGTGCAACCAGTGCTTCTGCATGTCTCAATTACATTTTTAAGTATAGCAGGTATTGCAGGGCACAGTGGCTCATACCTGTAATCCCAGGACTTTGGGAGCCCAAGGCAGGAGGATCACCTGAGGTTGGGAGTTCGAGACCAGCCTGACCAACATGGAGAAACCTCATCTCTATTAAAAATACAAAATTAACCGGGCATGGTGGCACGTGCTTGTAATCCCAGCTACTCGGGAGGCTGAGGCAGGAGAATCGCTTAAACCCGGGAGGCAGAGGTTGCAGTGAGCCAAGATCATGCCATTGCACTTCAGCCTGGGCAACAAAAGCAAAACTCCGTCTCAAAAAAAAAAAAAAAAAGTATAGTAGGTACAAAAGGTTTCAGATTGTGTATTGTTTTGTGGTAGCCTTAAACCTAGTTGGCATCAGTGAAATAAGAGGCTTACACTATCTTTTCACTAAAACAATTTTTGATTAACTGGATAACTTGAATTAATACACTTAAGTGCTCATGATACACCTGACATATTTGGGGAAGACACTTTAAAGAGTAATAGTATAAATTCAAAGTAAGGGAGCTGCCACTAAAACAACTTGACAAAGTACCAAGAAACCTACCCTGAACCAAATCTACTTAAAAACACAGTTTTCTATGAAAAGAGGTCTATATACTTTTCTTGGTCTTTTGTTCAAGGAATGCAGAGAAATGTAATCACTAGGAGGAAGAGGAAAAACCAACAGATGTGACCCTCCCTTCCTCTCCCAAAATACAAATATACATCAGTGACAAGGCCAAAATTAAAATCCAAGCTACCTCTACCGAGGACTTTTTTGATCCTCCTTCTGGTAAAGAGATAAGAGCTCGGGCCAGGTTAGAAGGAGTAAGAGGTAGAAGGATGAGAGCATGTGATTTCAAAAAACCTTATTTTTGTATACCTTGTATTGAGGGAAGCCTAGCTGGCTAATCCACTCTGCAACTTTCTCAGGATCCCAATTAAGATACTCAAATTGTAAGTCAGTCCTTTTTTCTGGCTGGGTTTCTTCATCTTCAGAAACCAGTTCCTTTAACTCTTGGGAAAAATCTACGACTTTCTTTTCACTAACAAACTCACTTGATTCTGTCTGAGACTCTGAGGGATGTGAGTGTGAGCATTCTTCACTGACATCAAGCAATGTTTGGCGTTGTTGTGAAAACTCATAATGTTTACCAATGGATTCTTCTCTGGCAGATCCTAATGAGTCATATTCTTTTTTAAATTCATCACTTAGTGACAACTTTCCTCTTTTATGCTCACGGTGCTCTAGCTCAGCCTTTTCTACAGAATACTTAGACTTGATTGGTTCTGGACTGTCTTCCTTGGAAAATTCTACATGTGTCTCTCTTGGTTTGGCTTCATCTGGTAACTCTAGATTCTTCTCCTCAGTTGGCTTGATTTGTGTTTTCTCTTCAACTTCTGGGTTGATCTGTGGCAGCACTAGACCAGTCTCCTCTGGTGGCTGTGGATTTTTTTCCTTATTTGACTTTCTCATCTCTTCCGGACCTTCTGGTTCCATCATTTCTGATTGTTCTAGAATTGTTTCCTCACCTGGTTTTCTTGAATTTTCCCCAGGAAATTCTAATTTGATCTCTTCTAGTGGCTCAGGAACTTTCTCATCAGTAGATTTTCTTGATTTGTGGTCTGGAAAGTCTAGTTTAGTCTGCTTGGGTAGTTCTGTCCCTTTCTCCTCAGTTGCTTTTCTTTGCATCTCTTCTGGAACCTCTGGTTGAGTCTCTTGTGGAGGCTCTAGATCTGCCTCCTCACTAGACTTTCTTGGTTTCTTCTCTGGAAATTCTGGTGTAGCCTGCTTGGATGGCTCTGTCCTTTTCTTCTCAGTTGACTTTATTTGTGTCTCCTCTGGAATCTCTGGTTTGGTCATCTTTGGTAGCTGAAGATCTATTTCTTCAAGTGATTCTCCTGGTTTCTCATTTGGAAAATCTAGTTTGGTCTGCTCTGGACGCTCTAGAACTGTCTCTTCATGTTGCAATCTAAACGATTCCTCTGGAACCCCGGGTTCAGTCTCCTCCTCTAGTAACTCCAAATTTGTCTCTCTGACTGTGGCCCCTGAAACCTCAGACATGGTTTCCGTTGATGGCACTGGATCTGTTTCCATAGCTGACCTTAGGAACACATTCTCTGTAGCATTTGGGTTAGCCTCTTCTGGTGGCTCTAGGTCTGACTCTTCATGATTTTCATGCATAGGGGCCTCCAAATCTTTGAAAAACTCTCCCCTCATCTCTCTGGACGTCTCTGACTTTACCTCTTGGGGAATCCCTGGTTCAGTTTCGCTTGGTACTTCTCTCTTGGACTCCTTGGCAATTCCTTCCTCCGACGTCCCGCTAGGTTTCAGCTGCACGTTCTTAGCACTCTCGGGCTCCTCCTCTTTAAAGTTCTCTTCCTCGGTCTCTTGCTGTGACTCTTGGTAAATCTCTGCTGGTAGCTCCGGGCCTACCTCTGCCATGGTTTCTGGTTCGGCATTTTCATACAATTTCTGAAGTCCAGGCAGTTCAGGTCTCTCAGGCTCCGGCTCTCCATCTTCATCTGGGCCGGAATCATAATCCTCCGGGACTTCAGCCATTTGCAGCTTAGCGGACGCTCCGCGGCTTCCTAGCAACCCTAACTTCCGATAGCGTCTCTATGGATACCACGATTTCCGGCAGTGTCTTCCTGACTCTTCCCCAGGTTTTGTTTGTTCTTTCAAGCCCTAACTTTAAAAATCGGCGATCAGAAGCACGTAGTAACCCTCCCCGCGGCCACATCGCCAGCCTTCGCGGGCCGGAGGTCCTGCGGCAGTCCCTGGATCAGCTCGCTCTTCCAGCTGTCGCCGCGCCGCTTCTTCCGGCCCGCAGGCTGCGCTCGGCTGTGCCCGGCGCTCTCTCGGCTTTCGGCTGTTTCCGGAGCCACTCGCGGCTGGCGGCGGAGAGCTCCGGGCGCGGGCTACAGATGTCGGACCTGCAGGTGGCTGAGGGGCCTGGCTCCTGGAGCCCCACAGCCCGCCAAGGGTCGGCGGGCGGCGTCGGGGACTGCCAGGAAGTGGAGGGGAGCCAGGCGACCGCCTCAGGTACGCAAGGCCGGGGCCCTGGCGGGTGGGTGCCGCCCGGCCTCAGGGCCCCGCACCTCGGCGCGATCCTCCGCCGCGCTCTGCCCCGGGCTCCTCGGCGGAGCGGACCCATCTCGGCAGCTCCTTCGCGCGCAGGGCCCCTTCCCCGCCGCTGCCACCACCCGGATCCTGGGCTCGAGGTTATTTTCTTCTACTGTTTCGAAATGCCTCGATTCCCTGCCCCGCTTCCTTTCTGAGATCGGCTCAAATGATAGTGGCAGGGTGGTTGCCCCGGCACCTCTTCAGCTTCTGTTTCAGCTTCGGCCGGGGTTCGGGTCCCACCTCCGTCTGCTGGTCACATCCAGACTGCCGACCCGAACCCTACTGGCCTCGCCGCCGCCCGCTTCTGGCTCCCCACCCGCTCCCCACCTCAGTCCCCTGCCCCAGCCTTCCCACGCTCCTCTCTGCCCCCATCCGGGTTGGCAGCTTTGACTTCCTCTGCCAGAACCCCACTTCGCCCTAGCCTCCCTGCACAAAGCCCCTCTGGCCTTGCCGCCATCCTCTCCATCGCTCAGAGTGGGAAAAATGAAAAGCAGAGTTGGAGTAGGTAGTCTCTGGGGTCTTGAATGAACCCAGTAGCCAAAGTAATAGCAGGAATTAAAAATTTGGGCGACCTCCCTCATTCTCAAGACCCTCATCCTCTTCTTGTTCAGGACGATGTCTCCATTTCTACCCACGGGAGTTCCTCCTTGTAGATTATTTCAGTGTCCAAAGACAAAAGAGCCCATCCACTTTTCATCTTTCAGCCTCCTGAACACCACACACGATGCAACTGAAAGGATTCTCTTTTGAAATACAAAGGGTAGAGGGGAACGAGCTGGTCTTATTAAGTAGCAAATATAAATTAATTTTCTAGGTCTGAAATTAGAATAGACACCATAAAGTATAATGGTTGAGACACTACTGTGGAGCCAGAGTGCCTGGATTGGAGTCTGAAACCTCAGTTTCCTTATCTGTAAAATGTGATTACTAAAAATATCTGCCTCATAGGATTATTGTGAGGATTACTTGAGCTGCTTTGTCTAAGGCATTTGTTGTGTAGTCCATGGTACGCACTATACTCGTCTCTTCCGTTGTGACAGTAAGGTCTCTTTTTGTTCAGTTGAACTTCCTGTGCTGCCAGAGGTGTTCTTGGATGTATCGCTTCCAACATGGTGCCTTTTTCTCTCTTCTACTTCTGTCCCAAGTATCTTCCCTCTCATAATGCTGCTTTACTCAAACACACACACAGCTCACTGAGTTCTTTCTGTTGACTTTATATCCTCTTACTTTAAAACACCTAGCACATTTTGCCTTTTTTTTTTTTTACGAATTTTTCTATGCTTTGTATTAAATTCAAAACCGTTGGCATGTATTTAACATCGTAGCAATAGAAATTCGAAACATAATTTCTAAAAGACTATGGAAGTAAACACAAAAAGGTATATGTCTTATAACACTTGTCCCTTGCATGCACCAGTATTTATAAATTAAGCATGTTTTTACTTCCCCTTTAGGTTCTCATGTGTTTACTGCAAACATCCCCAAGTGTTTTAGATAGACGAGTGCTTCAAGAATATATTGGAAGATAGTGGGTTTGTCTCTGAGTGTTCCCCCTACCCCCACCATCTTATTCGTTCCTGCATTCACTTCCTCCTAGGACATTGGTAGAAAAGCTTACTTTCCTTCCTCTTACCCTCAAAATGCAGGGTGGTATTTTTTTTTTAGTGTCATGTAGGGGTTTATTATAGTAGCCCAGAGCAAGCTCTTCCTCTAGAGGTAGGATTTGTTGCTAATAAAATAATAGTAATGATAACCTACAGGTATTGAATGATTTTTTTATGCCAGAGGTGGAAAGAGATTTGCTTATATATCCTGATTTAGCCATGTCAACAATCATTTTCTTCCCATTTTACAGAGGAACAAACTATAGCTGAGAAAGGTTAACTTACCTGTTCAAGTCAGTGCAAGCTTTACTGTCTGATGAATTTGTCATCTTATGATGAAGTCTATAATCGTTTGTTTTTATTGACCGTGAACCAAGTACTGGTACTCGTGGACAGGTTATGGTCTTTGTCCTCAAGGTGTTTTCAGTTTGATGAGATGAGAGATCCGTTTCAGAGGGATACAATTAACGATTCAAAACATTATGTAATTGGGTATCTTTTCTTACAATTCTTTATCCACTAAGAAACCTGCTTAAAGGTAGGAATGGAATCTCTTTTGCTTATTTATCTAGAGCCCTTGATGTTGTGTCTTAGAGGTTTTGCACATATTTGCTGAGTTTGATGGTGAGAAAAGTCTGAATGCAGAGATTTGGATGAGCATCTAATGAATGTGAAGAATTAGGGTTGAGATAACCAAGAATGTTCCTTGGGTTAGAGCAATGGTTCTTAACCAGGTACATTCTTGTACCCCCAGGGCATGGCGATGTCTGGAAACATTTTTGCTTGTCACAACTGGTGGCAGCTATTGCTGACATCTAGTAAGGATAGGCTAGGGATGTTTGCTAAACATCCTGCAATGCACAGGGCAATCCCCATAATGAACAGGTTTCTGGCTCCAGGTGTCAGTAGTGCTGCTTTTGGGAACCCTGTGTAAGAGTTAATTAAGCTGAGCTTCCAAAGCAGTGTGGAAATATTACATTTGGCCTGGATCAGAGGCTTGGGAGTAAACCCCCCAAAACTGCTTTAAACTCAGAATTTGTTTGATTGGCTCCTTGTGCCATCTTCTCTAGAAAATGATATAATGAGGGCTGGGCACGATGGCTCATGCCTGTAATCCCAGCACTTTGGGAGGCCAAGGCGGGCAGATCAGAAGGTCAAGAGATTGAGACTATCTTGGCCAACATGGTGAAACCCTATCTCTACTAAAAAATACAAAAATTAGCTGGGCATGGTGGTGTGTGCCCGTAGTTCCAGCTACTCAGGAGGCTGAGGCAGGAGAATTGCTTGAACCTGGGAGACCGAGGTTGCAGTGAGCTGAGATTGAGCCACTGTACTCCAGCCTGGAGGATAGAGACTGTCTCACCCCCCAACAACAAAAAAAGATACAATAAGTAAGCAGTAGAGCTCTAAGAAAGAATGAAATTGACTTATCAGAGAGAAAACAGCAGTAAGAAATGAAATTGGATATTCAGGTGTTCTGTTAATCCATTTGGAATCCCTGAGACTGGGTAATTTATAAGAAAAGGGTTTTAATTGGCTCGTATTGCAGGGTGTACAGGAAGTGTAGTGTTGGTATCTGCTTCTGGTGAGGGCCTCAGGAAGCTTACAATCATGCTGTAAGGGGGAACAGGTACATCACATGGTGAGAGTGGGGAGTGAGAGAGAGAGAGAGACGGGGAAGTCTCAAACTGTTTTAAACAACCAGATCTCAGGTGAACTAACTGAGTGAGAACTTACTTATCATCAAGAGGATGATGCCAAACTATTCATGAGGTATTCATCACCATACTCCAGTCACCTCCCACCAGACCCCACCTCTAACACCGGAAATCACATTTTAGCATGAAATTTGAGGGGCCAAACATCCAAGCCATATCAGGTATTATTGAATTAAGGGTTTTGGTTTTTTGGTGTATCTTATTCCTTCAAAGCAACAATGTGTCATTATCCAGAATAAGCATAACTTGTTTTTAAAAAGTGTTCTCTGCAGAGAATACCTATTGAATGTCTTCATGTTTATTGGCTGAGGTTTTGGCAAAAAGGAAGAAAAGGATTTATGTTATGAACTAAGCTCTCCAGTGGTCGTGGTGTTTTTTTTTTTTTGCATTGTAATTGTTTTTAATAGTCTTTTATTTGAGGCACCTGGGTTCTTCAGTTCCCAAGAGGAGAGAGAAATCATTCTTTAATCAGGAAACTCTCTGAGGCATACTTATTGCATCACTTAAAGGAAGTTTTTTTTTTAAGTTAGAGAGCTTTAGGAAAAATAAAGCTGTATTGTGATCCTGAAGTCAGCAGTAGAACTTTGGTGTGTATGACCCCCAGAGCTACCAATACATTTAGATGTTGAGGACTGGAAACAGGTCATGTAAACTTGTCCATGGTTCTAAAGTAGGACTTAGAGTATTACAATTAGTGTTTTTGCAGTGGTGAAAATATTTTATATCTGTCCCAGCTACTCAGGAGGCTGAGGCAGGAGAATCGCTTGAACCTGGGAGGCAGAGGTTGCAGTGAACCAAGACCACACCACTGCACTCCAGCCTGGGCGACAGAGGGAGACTCTGTCTCAAAAAAAAAAAAAAAAAAAAAAAATTATATATATATATATAATATATATAAAATATATGTGGCTATTCAGTTTACATGAATTAAAATTCAGAATTTGGTGTCTACCAGCCGGGCGCGGTGGCTCACGCCTATAATCCCAGCACTTTGGGAGGCCGAGGCGGGTGGATCACGAGGTCAAGAGATTGAGACCATCCTGGTCAACAAGGTGAAACCCCGTCTCTACTAAAAATACAAAAATTAGCTGGGCATGGTGGCGCCTGCCTGTAGTCCCAGCTACTCAGGAGGCTGAGGCCGCAGAATTGCCTGAACCCAGGAGGCGGAGGTTGCGGTGAGTTGAGATCATGCCATTGCACTCCAGTCTGGGTAACAACAGCGAAACTCCATCTCAAAAAAAAAAAGTTTGATGGCTACCATGTTGAATGGTAAGAATAATAGGGAATCTATGACAAACAGCCTTGATGTCTTAATTTTCTCCTGTGGTTTTTATGTCAAAACATTAACAATTTGTCTACCTGTGGCTTTCTTTTTCTTACAGTGGTTGTGTTTTTAGTGTCCAGAGAGTCGATCAGTCAGAGAATTGATTAATCATGTCGTGATTCAGTCTGAACAGCATAACCAAAGGTGTACAATCTGAGTGACCACTCAGGAGCACGTCCCACTTAAGGGCTGAGGAGAATTCGGATCACATGGTCACTAGATTTGGTTGGAACATAAACTCAGTTAATTTGTTTTCCTTTAAGCCTCTTGAGT